TCCATTATAAGAACCCTAACTCATGCATGGTCCAATATAACACATCAAGATTTTAGTTTTATGCACTAACAACTTCCGAAATGCTAAGATCCAACATTCCAAGCTCTTGGAGTAGCTCATACTCACAAGGATGACTCAAGGGACCATATTAAGCTCAAAACAAGCCCTAAACTAGATCTAACACTTGGATTCATCAAGATAAGAGCTTTATACCTTCAAATACTAGCAAAGTTGATGGAGACTCTGAATCCTTTAGCTCTAATACAACCAAAGCTTCACCACCAAGATCTTCCTTCTTCAAAGAGTACCAAAATGCCAAAAGATTACCACCAAGGCTCAAAAACACACAAGAACAAGCTAGGGTTTCGTGGGGAGTCTTTAGAGGGAAGGAAGTTGATGATAAGAAGGTCCAAGAGAAAGATAAAGTGTTTAAATAGGGTCCAAACCCTAAAAATTAGGGTTTGTCCCAGACGTACGTACGCACCGCGTATGCCACGTACGTCCAGCGTATGTGGTTGCCTTCTGCGATCAAGTTTGAGCCTTGTATGCCCAACATACTCCCTATATGCCCATCATACTCCCTGTACGCCCAACGTACTCGGCTTAACCCAAAATCCTCGTAACTTCAAACGGTCATAACTTCTTCGTTCCAACTCTGATTTCGACATTCTTTATATCCACAGAAAGGTAATAAGAATCTCTACAATCCTATCAACTCTCCTTTGCTTTGAAAATTTCCAAACTTAAATCCAAAATTCAAGAAAAACCCATACCATCATTTTACCGTTATACCATTGGGCTCCAAAACACAAATTGAACACTCAATACCCACAACCTGCATTATTCACTACCAAATGGGTCTAAACCTCTCATTCCCAAGGCCCGAAGCCTTATGATACTTGATCCTCGGGTCACGGCCCCGAATTATGAACCGACCCGAGACAGGGTGTTACACAAGGCAACGTACATCATTGGATGTGGGCATCTCAAGAATTTTATTGATTGCTACTTCGCTTACTTTGGTTTAATAGACTTCGAGTTTGCGACTGCCTTTAAGAAGAAGCCAAAGATTCCAGACTCAACCTTGAGGAATGATTTGAACAGCAATGATTATGTAGATGGTAAGATTTTGATGAAACCAAAAGGGGTAGTTTTCCAAGGGAAAGACATGAAATAAGGAGATACTTCTTTCATATAGATTATAAGGAGATGTACTCAAATTTGAATCTTACCAGCATCTTCTTAGATTCAAAAAAATGCAAGAGAAACTCAAATGAAGACAGAATGGAGATCATGAAGATCATATGTTGGTACATGGAGATTCGAAGAGTTTTGATAGATATTATGACTACTTTACCTAGTATTTGAAGATTCAATATTAATCACAAAGAGGGAGATTGTGGAGTCGAATATGTTGTGATGTATCGAAGTCTTAAGTGGAGTCGAAGTCTTGTTAGTGTATCCATATTGAAGGTTTTCACAACTTCGATTTTGTATGTATTGTATCAGACACTTATGTTGTATCACCTTGAGAGTCAAAGTCCTGGTATTTTTTTTTTGTATCTGTTGAGTACACTATAAATAGTTTAGGTCCTTAAGTCATTTGTAACTTTTGTAACTTTGAGCTTTCTTTTCTCTTAAATGTACTTTTGTATCCTCCAAATAATATGAGTTGAAACGAGATTTTGTTTACATTCTCATGTTCATATCTTTGCTTGCTTGCATATTTGATTGATTTCTCGACTTTTCACCTTGTATTTTGTGTTTTGTTATTAATGAAAGAAAGTTTTCATGTACCTGACGTCTTCTATTTTCTTCTTCTTGTTTATTTTTCAATCATGAATGTTTGAAAAATACATTATATACACACTGACCGTTAGCCTCTTTATTGGAGAATTAAGAGGCAGTCTCTTAATTTTTAAGATTCAGACTGTTTGGTAACATCTGAATTTATGTCTCTTAATTTATGAGATGCCTCTTAATTTTTCAGATATAAAGACGTGTCTGAATTAAAAAAACAACGCACATTCCTCTTTTGCCCTAGTACTCCACCTCTTTTCCTCTTCTCCTTCTTTCACAAATGTCGACCCACCCTTTCTCACTGCATCTCCGATCTTACGACTGCAACCATCTGATATCCCCTCCGACATCAGCCGGCCACCGCCTCAGCTGGCCACCGCCTCTGCTGCGCCGCCATCTCCGATGACAATGAACACTTCCATCCCATCGCTAATCGGTTCTTTCGCTCTCCTATCAAGCTCTGTGCATAATCGACTGTACACTTCTCTACATCTTCTCTCTTTGATCGCTAACGCCATCTCCTAGACCAGCTCTGTTCTTCTCCGAGATAACGGGTTGCTCCATCCACCAATGACTTTGCCGTCGAAAACCCTTCCAGTTGCAGGTGATATTTCTTCCTCTTTGCCCTAAAACTCGATAATAAGAGTTGAATTTGTTCTTTCCGGAATGTTTTGCTTCTAACAGATTTTGATAAAACTGTTATTAGGATCATCAATTTCAATTTCAATTTCAGTCTCTTAAAATGTTGATGTATGTATAAATTTCAATTTTGATAAAACTGTTATTAGGATCATCACCAATTTGAATTTGGATTGGGCTTGAAGTGTTGATGTATGTATAAATATTGATAAAACTGTTATTAGGATCATCAATTAACTTGTGTACCTGTTGATAATGGACAATTTCTTGCTGATATGGATGTTGTTCTGATGGAATTGTGTGTTGATATCATCTTATGGTTAGATGTTTTCTTTATAAAAATTTTGATGGTAAAATTTCTCCACATCTGATGGTATGATTTCTTTTGATTTGTGCTGAAAAGCTTTGGTTGATTTTTTGTTGATAAAAGAGTGATAAATTGTATGGTTGTTTCTTAAGTGTGCAGGAAGTAGATTTGGTTTCAAGGCATATGGGATTGGTGGTGGTGTTTTTTTTTCCAATGTCACTAGTTGCAACATGGATTGAAAGAAGTATTTTTATTTGGCTATTGTATGATGTTTATGTTTTCATGAATTAAAAGAAGTGAATTTGGAAGAATTTATGTTTAATTTAGTTTTATTGTATGATTTTTATGTTTCAATGGATAGAAAAAAATGAATTTGAAAGAATTTATGTTAAATTTGGTTATTGTATGATCACTTGTAATTTTTATCAATTATGCATTTATCATTTAGCATAATATAGAACTACAGAAGGGTAAAATGGACATTTTTATCATTCAGATTACAATTCAGAGGTTTCAACCAAACAACATGTTAAAAGTTCAAATCTTAAAAGTTCAGACCCTCTTAGAAATTCCGACCTCTTAAAAATTCAGATCCTACCAAACAGCCCCTATGGTTTATATCGAGTGTAAAACATATATATATATATATATATATATATATATATATATATATATATATATATATATATATATATATATTTGTGTCATGTATATTATAGTTAAATAAGACATAAAAGGAAATTTTTTATATTTTAGCAATGCATTACAATAAAACAAAAGGTAAATTATATATTTATATCAAGTAAATTACATGAATAGTCCCTATGGTTTGGAGTAATTTGCACGTTTGGTCCCTAAATTATTTTTTTAAATCGGAAGGTCCGTACTGTTTGTTTTTATTATGCGTTTGGTCCTTATATTACCTAAAAAGATTATTTTGCCATTAAAATTTTAATTTATTTAAATAAACACATCCCCAACTTCACCCCTTCCGAGTTAACGAAAACAAGCGCGTAACAAAAAGAAATAGTAAGGACTTTCCGAGTTAAAAAAATAAGTTAGGGACCAAACCTGCAGATTACCCCAACGATAGGGACCATTCGTGTAATTTACGCATTTATATTTAAATGTTAAGACAACCTTTTATATAAAGTTTTAAGTTAATTGTTATTGTAAATAAAATATTGAAAACTTTGGATTTATATTAATTAATATTCACGGTTTTTGTTAATTGTTAACATAATTTTAATTAATATTTACGTTTATTGTTTTTATAGTAATTTTTATATTTTGGAATTTAAAAAAAAAAGTTTGTTAGGCAAAAACATCACCACACATCACTCATAGGCAAATTATGGTAAAAATAGTAAAAGCTTATGTGACGCCTATATGACACACTTTTTTCATATGCAAAATATCATCACACTCTTTAGCCTTAGAAAGTAATAAACCAAAAATAGCAACCATATTAGGGTTGATCGGTTCTTAACTCTTTACAACTTCTTACAATATTTAGAGTTGTTCAAGTGGCGAGTCCATTATATCCAAGTATATGTTGATAACGTTAGATGACACCATATATTTTGGGGAAAATGATACATTAGCCCAACAATATATTTCGAATTTTCTCATTTACTACCTTAACTTATTTACATGCTTTATGAGGGAATAAAGTTGTTTTTTCTGGGTCTAATTTGTCACTTTGGACAAAATGGAAGGGTAACCCGGTTACCCCTTTGCCACATAGACATTTGTTGACTTTGAAAAGTCAAAAAGGACTGTTAGGAGGGGAATCAGCCACAACGAGGGAGAAAGACGATCCCAAGAGGGGTTGTTTACGGTGAGTTGGATGGTGGTCGATGGTCCAAATACCACCACAACAACGATCTCGTCGCTCTACAGCCTCCCACCTCTACATATTAACCTTCAACAATTGGATCATAAACAAGCATTTTGATCGGGAAAAGAAAATCATTGAATCTTGGTCCAAATAGATAAAATATTGGCATATAACAAATGATAACAAAATTTATAACTCCATGCCAACTCAAATCAATATCAATTGCACTAAAACAGTGGTAATAGAATTCATCAAACCTCAAATTAGAATGATATCCAAAAATGTTAGGTACTCATAGAACTTCAATAACAAAAGCTAATAAAATCCAAAAAGAACTTATCTAAAGCCCTCAATAAAAGGGCTGCATATCGACAACTTACTCCTTGTTCTTCAACTTCTCAATTCCTTGTGTCTTCAACTTCTTAATTCGTTATTGGAGGTGGTCAACACGAAAAACAAGCTTCGTAATAGAGTACAAGATCCAGTAGAAGATAAGCGTTGACTCTTGTTGATCAATTTCTGGTAGTGAAGGTGCTCCGATGGTGAGCAGTTCTGAGATTCATAGTTGGGCATCGATTCGTACTTCCAATAGATGACTGCTAGAAAAAAGAGGCAAAAGGGTACATCGGAAAGAAAGGGTTTGAGGAGGCTAGTTGTAACGATGATAAGACCTTTCCTAAGTGCATCAAGGTCGGGGAGAGTTAGGAAGATGATCATGACAGCTTCGGTTGCGACGGTGTAGCCTAGAACCACCCATTCCAACGCCGTTTTGATGGATTATTGAAGAAATATGAGGAATTGGGGGAGGGGGGTGAATGGGTAGGTAGATTAGCAACCAAACAAAGAAGCGATCTTCAATGGCGAAAAGTATATGTGCTCGGTCATAGCTACCACCTCGTGCTTTCAACTAATGACGTCAGAATACATGTGGCATTGTGTATCTGTTATTAGAGGTTAAAATATTAAAAGAGGAGATCTTAACCCACTTTATTCCCTCATAAAGCACGCAAATAAGTTAATTGACTGATTCGGCAAATTCAAAATACATTATTCGGGTCATTTTCCCTATATTTTGATATAAAAGCTATGAAAAATTTATTCCGAAGACTTTTTGGCTAATTAGGTCTTTGCTACTTGTTAGACAATATGGTTATGTATATTGCCCTTGTAGGCATTAATGATACGTCCCTAAAACACGTAAATTCTATTTAATACTTAAAAGCCATTAAAAACTTAACCTTTTAATCTTTAAACTTTTGGTCAACTTCTTGTTTGCTACAGGATGCACACTATTAATCCTCATTGGTAGGTCAATTATTCTTATTAGCGGCTAAAACACATATTCCCTAATCCTAATAATAATTGAGAAATCAATTATCCTTTTAACTTTTATTATATGTATTTTTCTATTCACTAAATCAAGACAAATGTAAAAACAAAAGGGATTAACGGAGAGAATTAATGAATTTTATATATCATTATTTTTATGAGTACGGAGATGAACAAAAACAAAAGATAATTAAGAAAATATTTAATTTTTCTTTATTATTTTACGTATTTGTCTATCATGGTTGTCCGCATCTTTCCAATTTGGTCGAAGTTCTATGGTGTTCTGAAACCACATATCTTCGAGACTTGTAAATGGAAAGCCATCAGTATACTTTTACAATTCATTTGTTTTGAGTAATTAATGTTGGCATCGCTTAAAATGTGGTTCACATATATATAAAATGTAAATGTTTTTTAGTGCTTGTAGCCCAGCGGTATCAGATGGTGTCCTCCCTCTTTGAGGTCGAGGGTTCAAGTCCCGTCGTAGACATAGGTGAAATAGGTGTTGTTAGCTTAGGAGTAGACTAGATTTGTCGGTTCAAAAAAAAAAAAAAAAAAAAAAAACATATACATAAAATGGGGTTTGACATCGGGTTTGAGTTAATAGCCATTACATAAAATTTTGCTTGTTGTTTGTATATTTGGTATAATAACACGCCGAGTCAGCCTTCAACATTTGACTTTCGATATATTTCTTTTTCTTTAGTTTCTAACTAGACGTAACCTTGCGTGTTGCGTAAAAACACAGTTATGCGGTTAAAATAAGCTTAGTAAAAGTTAAAAATATGTTTGAATTTACGTTTTAATTTACTCATGTTTTTGGGCATTAACCGAATACTCACCAAGATAACTTTAGGATTAATGGCTTTCCTTTTCTTACATGTTGAAGCTAAGCATGAGTTTACTCGCAAAAAAATCATATTGACTATGAATGCAAAAAATCATAATGACTGAGTTTTAATCTATAAAATATCATCAATTAAACCAGAAATTCTTTGCATTTGCAATCTTTTACATCATATATGTGCTTAATTTGCACCAATTACGTATCCATATTTGTTTCTTTTATATAAATCAGATGAACCTCATATAAGATTCCAGATAAAATCTTTTTACATCTGTATATTAGTTTATATCTGTTAATTCAATAAATAAAATTATTATATCTTGGAAGTTTTATGAAGAAAGCAATGTGGTACTTGAGTGGATTACTCCAAATATAAAAAGTAATTAAACTACCAAATAAATCAAAAATGTTAAAAAGCATTAAGCATGCATCTGGAGATGGCCAGATGGGATAAGGGATTAAAGAGGGAAACAGCAAAGAATACATATGAGTGCCCTTTGTATATTTGTATTTCCTGGAAACCCTTCTATATTTGTTCATAAAGATCAAAGATTCTTACCCACAGTTCATTAATTTCCATTTTTGATGACATATCTAACATCTGCTTAGTAGGATGACCACTGAATTGGATTTTTCAAAATGAGTTCTAAACCCGAATTCAGATTTTTCTACCATCTTTTTCGTCACTAATGATGACAGTTTTGACACTTGCGAAACCTAAAAAAGGAAAGTTTTAGCTACTTGATATCACACAATATGTTATTTTTGTATGGTTTTTGGGTGGTTGATGCTTGAATGAGATTCTAGGACCACAATATATGCAACTTGTGTCTAAGAATCACACCAATAGGTAGTGTAATACTGATTCATTCTGATTGCAAGGTGAATCAAGACAGTTTGAGTTGTTTCCCATTCAAATGTATGCAACTTGCCACCTCTTTCATGAGTGCTATATATTAGGTGTGATTCTCTTTACCAGACAACAATACTCTCTGAACATGTCAAGGACTCGCTAACCCTTCAACACGCAGGTTTCTGCAGCCTCACAAATTGCTAGCATTTGTTGTGTAAAGTCATTGTCTAGCCTACTTGCCCATTTTTTTCCAAAATATCTCCCCTCAAGAATGTTGGTGTGAGTACGTGTATATCATTTCCCATGAGTGCATTTGTCAATTTAAAGAAATAAGTATAGAGGACACTTGTTTTATGTAAACAAACATATATATTGTTCTATCATGAAAACAAATACATGTTATTTCAACAAAAACTTAAAATAGGTTCAAACAAACATTTTGTACTTTCCTACCCTAGATAAGATATCATAATCCATGCGGACAATTTGATTCGACTAGTATGGATCAACACTTTTCAGGAGAGACGTAACAATTCTTATATATTTCGTTTTGATTGCAAAATTCAACGTGAAAAGCGTGTGCACAGAGAGAGAGAGAGAGAGAGAGAGAGAGAGAGAGAGAGAGAGAGAGAGAGAGAGAGAGAGAGAGAGAGAGAGAGAGAGAGAGAGAGAGAGAGAGCTGCTAATTAACTGAATAATATTACGTGTGAGTCAAAACATAATTATCACAATATACTAATTGTAGAGTAATACACATACTGTAATTAGTTCAGGCCACATATATATAATGATAAATTATATCATTCTCCCACTTGCCCGTAGACTATTTACATTAAGACTTCTTAAGTAGGTCAAGTATAAGCTGTATTTCATCCATCTTGACTAAACGAAAATATATACAGTGGCCAAAAGACACAGTCGTATATGTCCAACACTTATCATAAAGTCAAAGATCACATAAGCCCACCATAGTTATATATGAATGTGATATTGAATTATAGTAATATAAGAACATATTGACATCACAAATAATACAATTTGTCATTGACTCACATAATTGTTTACAATATTAAGATAATTAAGTATGGAAAAGTGCAACATAATCGATTTGAAAGATACAATCATATTCACTAATAAAAATAGCCATAATAATCATATAATATATGATATCATATAAATCTATTAGTAATTTCATTCCTAAAACATATTCAATGAACAATTTGGGTCGTAGCTTCTTTATTGGTGAATCCGATATCATCACTACAAGACATACGGGCAATAGGGTGATGCTGTTAGTGGCAACATTAGCCGGACATGATTGGAGTCTTTGCTAAAGCCCATATCGCCGCTAAAAGCATCGCCCTATTACCCAAAACTCCCCACTCGTGTGCTTTCGCTAAAGTCACTCATTGGCAACCATGTAGTAGATCTATCCAACGTCAAAGGTTAGTTCTCGTAACACCAATAGTAGTGTCATGAGGTTGCCGCTAGTGCTCACCAAAATAAGACCCAGGATAAATTCCCCCCAGTTTTTTTATCATCGTTGCTAGCGGCGACGTCAGCTATAGTACCAACACTCAATTGCCCGCATTTGTTGTCGTCGTTATAGCCATTTAACCTAATATGTGTGCTTGTTGATGCAATAAACCTAACCATTGATAAACCTTCTCTATCCAATGGTTGAAATTTATCTTGGCGTTAGTTCGTATTCCATTATTTGTGGCGATGGAAATAGCGGCAACATGTGTCGCCACTAATACCCCTTTTGCCTGAAAGAAATTCCCTCTCCAGTGGTCGCTGCTAAAGCGACTAAATTGGTCCCACGATAGGAGTCTAGTTGTTGAGGAGTGGATTGTCACACAGAATGTCTACGATTCAAAGTCTAGCACATATTACTGGTGTTATGTGATTAAACTCCTACGTGGGCCTTGGGGCAAGTTAACGTGGACGGCTCAGATGGTGCACTTTACCATTTTTATTAAAATGACTAAAGTGCCGTCTGTGCTTGTCACTAAACCCTAACTTCTTTAGATCGTTTTTCCTTCTTCTCCGGTTATACGTTATTTGAATGTTTCGAACACCACCCCCAAAAAAAATACGAACCCTGGTTATGTGGTTCTCCGGAAACGATGAAAGCGGCGGATGGTGGTAACAGCGCCAGTAAGGGCTATGGTTTTCAGTAGAATTTCTAGATTGGGTAACAAAGATACCGATGTTCTACATGTTTGAATCGATAAATGATAGAGTTTCAAGCAACGATAGAGTTCGTTGGCAGAGAAGGCATGGTTGGCGTCATGTTGCAATGGAGTCGAATTAGGGTTAAGGTTTCTGTAATTTTAGGTTACGAATGGAATTAGAAACTTTGAATATCATTAAGGAGACTCGTAATTATTCAAAAGAAACAGTCTTTGACTTCTTGGTCAAGATGATGTGAGCAGTTTGATCCAAAGGGGGAAAACCTATAAAAGAAATAAAATATGATGTCATGAGGTTTCTGTTTTAACATATATTAAAGATAACCATCTTTTTAAGTTTTTGAAAAATAATCACTTTCTCCATAATGCCTAATTCCGGAGTAATGTTCATATTCTGGAGTTTTTTTTTTTTTGGTTTTTTTTTTTAAATTTTCAGAAAAATCTTGACTACTAGAAAACTGAGTAATTACCTACGGCGGTATTCGTAGAAAATCTGTAGGAGCAAGGCGTTACCTACAGAATTCCTATAAAAAACGGGTTGTAGGAAAAAACCCTCGTGGGTAATTTTTTCCTATAAATTACCTACAAACCTTCCTACACATTTCTTACGGTATTTTCTGGGAATCTGTCACTAAATTATGGCAACCATTTTTGGTAGGCAGTCTGTCGCTTCCTACTAAAAAATTTTGTCAGTTTTCTAGTAGTTCTTTTTTTTTGTTTTTTGGGATTCCGAATACTACATTTCGAAATTTTCGATGTCATCGTTTTTCAATAAAATGTTTAACTTTACGTACTAGTATCGTATATAATTCTCATCACTAAGTTTTTTAACTTTTTGTTAATTTTAAGAAAAAAAACGAATTTTTTTCTCGAAATTCTGAAATTGTTTTTCGGATTTTCAACTTGTTCTTGAAATTCCGGTGTTTTTTTTTTCGAAATACGAAATTTTAGTCCGCGATCCGGAATGCCGTTCCGGAATCGTTCAAAAAAAATATTTTTCTTGGTCCGGACTAAATGGTTATATTTACTAAAAAAATTATTTTCTTTCACTTGGCCGTAGACTATTTACATTAAGACTTCTTAAGTAGGTCAAGTATAAGTTGTATTTCATCCATCTTGACTAAACGAAAATGTATACAGTGGCCAGGCCAGGCCCAGTCGTATATGTCCAATACTTTCATAAAGTCAAAGATCGCATAAGTCCACCATAGTTATATATATGAATGTGGTATTGAATTATAGTAATATAAGAACATATTGACATAACAAATAATACAATTTGTCATTGACTCTCGTAATTGTTTACAATGTTAAGATAATTAAGTATGGAAAAGTGCAACATGATGGATTTCAAAGATACAATCGTATTCACTAATAAAAATGGCCATAATAATAACATGATATCATATAAATCTATTAGTAATCCCATTCCTAAAACATATTCAAGGAACACTTTGGATTGTAGCTTCTTTATTGGTGAATCCGTTAAAATGCGATTCATCGCTATGAACACTTTGGATTGTAGCTTCTTTATTGGAGAATCCGTTAAAATGCGATTCATCGCTATGAACACTTTGGATTGTAGCTTCTTTATTGGTGAATCCGTTAAAATGCAATTCATCGCTACAAAAAATACGGGAAATAGGACGATGCTTTTAGGTTTTAGCGGCGACGTTAGCAGAACACGATTGGAGTCTCCGCTAAAGCCTAAGTCGCCGCTAAAAGCGTCGCCTTATTGCCCAAAACTCCCCACTCGTGTGCTTTCGCTAAAGTCGATCCTTGCCCTCCATTGCAAAGGTTAGTTATTGTTACACCAATAGTAGCGTCATGATATTGCCGCTAATGCTCACCAAAATAAGGAGTGGAATGGCGCACATGAGGTCCACGGTTCTGGTACACCCAACATATTACTAGTGTTCTGCGATTAAACTCCCACATGGGCCTTGGGACAGGTTGACATGAATCGTTCAGATGTTGCGGTTTACTATTTTTATCAAAATGACTAAAGTGTCGTCGCTACTCGTCGCTAAACCCTAACTTCTTTAGATCGTTTTTTCCCTTCTTTTCCGGTTTACGCTATTTGTGTCTCCTTCTGCAACTCCATTGATAAAATCCTTTTTTTAGCGACTAAGACCAAGCAACACCACCACCTCCGGTCGCCACCCCCACCTGTCACCTCCGGTTTCAACCACCACCTCATAAGAATCAAAAAGAGCAATCGATGAAAACCAGTATTGTTTTCAAATGGTGGGATAAACCCTAATGGTTCTAGCGATTCGAGTGGCTAGTCTATCCAATACAAAATATCTAATATAAAAAATGCATGACTATTCTCCCTTCCCACTACCCACTAACTACTACTCACGTAACAAACACCAAATTACTAAACTACCCTTCATGCTCCTAGGAATCTAATTTGGTTTTACTGCCTTTCCAAAATTACCCCTTCTAGAACAAGTAAACTTTATTGGGGTTTAGCATCCACCATGGCTCCTGCCACTAACACACCCCCTGCCAATGCCATGATCCCCTGCCACAGAAACTCCGGTAACTTGTCGATCCTTTAAAAAAAAAAAAAAAGGTGTGAGTAACAAGTTGATGAAGAAAAGAGCATTAAGCATCTAATTTCTAGTACTTGTATAAAATTAGTAAGCTAAATATAAAGCCAGTAGCCAACTATAGTATATATTCACTAAACGATTCCAAGTTTAATACACAAGTTAGCAAAAAAGTAAAGCCCAATATTTACTCAACAAAAATGGGCCTCAGTGAGTCACTATAGAATACAAGCAAACAATTCACTTGGGCTTACAGTCTAAAGGATATTATGATTCCACAAAGTGGACATACTTTGTGTTGCTTACATAATTGTTAGATTGCCTTTCCTTTTCCTAGATGTGTGTATCATAAAAATACCTATTATATATATATATATATATATATATATATATATATATATATATATACACATAATTAGAAATCAGAGAGTTGTTAGTAAACCTAGAAGTATTACCAATCCTGCATCATAAACCACTGTTTGGTTGCGCCAGAATTCCAAGGAAGGCAAAAGAACTCTCCCTGATCTAGATCTTTTGCCACTGTAACACTCTGTTTCTGTGGGTCCCTATTTTACAGCAATGTCCCATTAATTTAAAACCACAACTCAATAATCACATTATTCAATTCTCAAACTAATTTCTTTATTTTGAAAATAACAATCTCTAGATTCATCTAACTTTCCATGATATAATGTATTGATATTTAAGAGTCGAGCAGATTGAATCTATAGATGCATATATATAATGAAGAAAACATACATGTGGAGAGACACTGGTAGATTTACTGCTCAAAACTTTATCTTTACAATCTTCAACTCTTGTATTCATATCATGAAACTTGTCATGTTGTTCAATGGAGTGTTTTTCATCTTCGTGTTCTGATTATATGAAGAAAGTGAGAATGTGTATGTGTTGAAGGTTATAGAATTTCATATTTTTGTACAAAAATAAACATTCTAATTGCTAATTCTTCATTTTTGGCTCAAACAGTGCAGAAAATCCAAACAAAAAACAAACTTCGATTAGTACCTGTTGAAACACATTCATCAGAAGATCTTCTTTGGCGACAACTTGTAGAAAATTCTTCCCAATATGAGGGAAAACCAACAACAAAATGATCAAACACCTGTAAATGCAAAGAAACAATATATAAAAATTGAACATCCATAGTGCACATACATACAGCTCATTTTCCATGGCAACTAAACCTATAACAAGAAATTTAACACCAAAAGCTACCAAACATCCATAGTTCTTTGTGAATTATGTTATTTCAGTGAAATGAGAGTATTTCCCTCTCTAGAACGTTATTAGGTAGTAAAGATTGTTTCTTTAAGATACCTCTGAGGAAAATCCACTTCCAAGGGTTTTCTCTTTGTTGATGTAACCTTGCAGAGAGACGCATACACCATCAACAGTCTCTAATTCAAAGAAATCGTACGCCTTGACGATTGGTGCAGAAGAGAAGCAGCGTTCAGCCCGATTCCTGTAATTTCATCAAAGATCGATCATACTTGTTACCTACAAATTTGTTACCAAATAACAAAGTGAAACCCTAGAGAGAGAGAGAGAGAGAGAGAGAGAGATACAGTTGCGAAGTGGAAGTGAGTCCTGAAACCCCTATTGTATTTCTGTCATCGTCTGATTGGGGCTTAGTTAACCACCAGTCTCGCAAAGAAACCTGATTTACAAATCAGGGAAATGCATCGGTGAAGGAAGAATGGCTGAAATTTAAGGAGAGAAGAAACTTAAAACTTACTGATTTTTTGAAGTGAGAACGAGAAGGGGGTGAGCTGTCGGCAGCATCAAACGCCATTGAGGGGAGATGGAACGCAAAACAAGCGGGAAGAGTAATAGCTACCGAGAGCCTCTGTACCCAAAGAAAAAAAAAATTAAATCTCCCTGTCTTCCCTACTAAATAATAAATAAATACTTATAAAATTAGTATTTTTCTTTGAAACTCATGCATTTGAAACCCCCATAAAAATTTGCAAACACCTCATGTATTTGAAACCTCCTATTTTAATGAATACCACTCAAAAATCTCTTAATAATGATTAACAATTCAAAAGTTTTATAACTTATATAATATATTTAATAAACAATTAATGGATACTCTACTATAAAAAGATCAATCTTTCTGAGTAGACACACAAATACAAATCATATACAAATTTCACAAAGAAAACAAGTTTAAAGTTTTTTGTGTTGGGTTGAGGGCTTTGAACAATTTTTTGAGCCATGTTATTATGTTGAAGTTTTAAATTTGTAAGTTTGTTATATACTAATTCTTTTTTGTATTTTCTTGATTTAAGTATTCTTTTAAAAATATCATTGTATGTTATGGTTGAAATTTTAATGTAAATTAGATTAGATTCATGTTATCGATCATATGTTATGGAAGGTGATATATATAATATTTAATTAACTATTGTATACATGTTTGTATGTTCATGTTGCTTCAAAATAATAATTAATTAAAAATCATGGATATGTCATATTATTTATATTATTCATGTAAGCCTTTTTTAAAATGCAAATTGTCTATCTTATCACTTTATATTTTAGTATATGTTTAACATTTTAATTATAATAATAAGTGTTTTTTAAAAATTTCTTTCACTTATTAATAATAACAAGTGGTTTTAAAATTAATAAGCAATAATTATAAATAATAAAATCAAATTACATGGATATGTCATATTATCCATGCAAGTCTCTTTTAAAATGCAAATTGTCTATCTTATCACTTTATTATTTAGTGTATGTTTCACATTTTAATAATAATATTAAGTGTTTCTTAAAAGTCTTCTTTAACTTATTATTAATAATAAGTGGTTTAAAATTAATGAATAACAATTTTAAATGATAATAACATCAAACTATAAATTACATTTAGCTATAAATAAATTGTATTTTAAATGAACATCTTTATCTCAAAGTTAATATCAATAACATAATCATTTTAAACATATATATTTTCAATATTTTAACAATATATTTTTAATCTTTGTTGCGCAACGCGCGGGAATTCGTCTAGTAAATAAATATCCTATTGTCACATGCCCTCTTCTCATTGATTTGGACACATGACATTTTCTAAATTTTTTGAACTAATTTATATCCACTTGTCATTTTTGTGTAATTTTCAATTTTTTAATAATGTCACCTAATAATATATAAATAATTAAATTAAGATTAAGATTAAGATGTCAATACGTTCCTTCTAATTTTAAATTCCTGCATTTAAGGCGCTATATACAACATTTTTATGGTTTTCTTCATATGCGATTTGATTAGCCTTAAATCACACATCCATATCATGAATGCTTTCCAAATCCACAGTTTTTCAATTTCTCAAAAACGTCTCAGTGTATGTTACATGGATTTAAATTTAGGTTGCCATCAATCAAGCGATTTCGTTCTTCTTTCAATGATACGAATCATCATACTCTAGTCGTCCAACAGCTATTCGATTTCATATATATATATATATATATATATATATATATATATATATATATATGATTTCTTACTGAATAATATATATTCATGTCATTAGGATGATTCCTTTTATTCACTGTGAAAACCAAGCTCTCCAAAATCGGCATTAGGGTAAGAAGAGCTACACAAGGTTAGTAATTCCATTATTTTCTATGTATACATTGTCGTTTTTTCTTACTTTAACACACGTTGTAAGATGGTGTAAGATGACCACTTGCATTATGTCCACCACATGTTCGATGTAATGCTAATGTGGATCTTTATAAGGAATATTGAAAAATATGGCTGTGAATGTGTATACCTTTATGTGCCCGTTTTTTGTCCCTCCGGAATATACATTATACAATTTTTTTTTCTGTTTTCTATTTGTGTGTTAAAGTGTGTACATATGGGGTAAATTATGTTTGATTATCTGTATTGTATTTTCATTTTTTTAGTGTGCATTCGGTATGTAAATGTGTGTATTGTATTTTTAGTTTTGTAGTATACATTAGGTATCAATCTGTGTGTATGTGTAACTGTATTATACATTAGGTATCAATCTGTATTATACTTCAGGAACTCAAATATATCTATTTTTTGTTTTGTATGTGTGTAGGTATGTACATGTACAAATATCCAACATTCATTTATAACTCAAGGACTAATTTGTCCCGAATCTTATCACTAAAAGCCGATATAAACCATTTACAACACATTATAGCAAAGTACTTTAATGTAATGACAAATTTACCCTTACCCATTTTCCTATTTGTGGTAATCAATATTTTTTTTATGTATTCGTTTAGCAAAATACTTTCATTTTTATCCAAAGGGTAAATCAATAATTTACTTTGGACAATGTTCATCAGAATGATAAATCAGTAATTTACTTTGGACAATGTTCATCAGAAGGGTAAATCAGTAATTTAATTTAAACATGGATCAAGTTGGTTGTTGCTATTATTTTTGTTTGTATGATTATCTCAACTTTGGTTAAAGATCATTTCTGTAGGCTAAACAAAATATGGTTGTGAATATATATATATATATATATATATATATATATATATATATATATATATATATATATATATATATATATATATATATATATATATATATACACCTTTATGTGCAAGTTTTTTTTGTCCCACTTGGATACTGTAATTATTTATTTATTTATTTATTTTTCTGTTTTCTATTTGTGTGCTTACGTGTGTATACATTTTGGTTGTAACGCCCGCAGATTTCGGCTAGTCAATTTAAAGACAACGAGCATTAAAAATTACTTTTTGATAGAAGTTTATTTAGAGTAAATAATCTTAACCAATAAATAGTACATGTCTCAAGGGTTCCGGAGATATAAAGAATGCTGAAATCCGAGTTATAACGAAGAAGTTATGACTTGTCGAAGTTTCGCGACATAACCGTCACGACACTGCGTGACGTAAAAGGTGAGTTTACGATAAAGTGCTTTTTTAGCCTTAGCGATCTAAACGGAAGTCGTACTGTTCGCTAAACCGAGAGCGTGCGTAAAAAGAACGTCCAAATCTGACTTCGTATGAAGAAGTTATGATTTTTCCAAGTTTCGGCACAGTAGTGTGCAGCCCGGAGTTCGAATTTTAGATCGAGTAATTTTTAGCCGATACAACCTAAATGAGAATTGAAGATCTCATTAATAGAAGCTCAACGATAAAAAGACAGTCGAAAACAGAGTACGTATGTAGAAGTTATGAATTCTACACGGTCGTTTAGCAGTGTAATCTTCTCATACTGTTAAATTTAAAATCGGTCGAGAATTAGCCGATGGAGTCTAAAGGAAAGTTGTAGAGTATGTTCCCACCTATGCGTGGATATAAAGAACGTCGAAAACGGAGCTCGTATGAGAAAGTTACGGGGTTTAGAAGTCGGCAGGGTGCTGCAGCGAAATGGGTGACGTGGCGCAATCTGATGACGAAACGTGGCACCAACTCGACGAGTTGGACCGGCAACTCGACGAGTTGGGGGTCAGAAACTTGACGAGTTGGGCCAGAAACTCGACAAGTTGGAGCCTTTTCCAGCCTATAAGTACCACCCGAGAGCCCCTTCGTTTCACACACTTTTTACCCTTTCTTTCCCTCTCTACTTACTCTCTAAACCTCCCAAAACATCCCCAAAAGCCTAGGAAACTTCCCTAGCACTTGAAGAAAGCCCCGGAGTGCCCGGGTTCTCCGAGAAAAAGAGTTTTTCGGTTTGAAACTCTGCCCACCTAGAGTCTGGTTTTCAAGGAAACCTCCCGGTTTCGTCAAAGAAGATTATTTTGAGAAGCGAAGTGTTGTCCGAATCATCACCATATCAAGTGAGTGCATAGTCCCTTTCATGAACATGATTTTAATACAAGTATTAATTAAAGTATTAATATCTGTTAAATAATTAAATATTTGTTAAAGAGTTTATGTGTGCATATTATCTGTTTACTTGAGATATGTGCTAGATGAAAGATTTAAACTTCTTTGTTTTTCATATCTAAACCGTAGATGTATTTTGTTTTCAGATCTGAACCTTTTTCTTTAGATCTAGGCTGTAGATGTATTTTGTTTTCAGATCTGAACCTTTTTTCTTCAGATCTAGGCTGTAGATGTATTTTGTTTTTCAGATCTAGTCCTTGTCCTTCAGATATGAACCGTATATGTAATTTCTTTTCAGATCTAAACTTTTTCCTTCAGATCTGAACTGTATATGTATTTTATATCTATGAATATGTTGGGTAGAACACGGGTAGATGAAATAGTTGGTTTTGATACTGCCTAGAATACGTGTTAAGAGCATATCTGATAAATATATGATGATTTAGGATACAGAGTAGGCCTAAATAAATTAAGAGGGATATTGGGTAGTATCTCCTTGTGAGTACAAATGAGATATACACGGAGGGAATAACTTTAAGACTTGTCATCTATCTGAGAGTATGGATTAGACTTAGTCAGTTGTCCTTAGTCCGGAAGTATGGTTAGGACATAATTATTTGTTTTTAGATCCGGGAGTAAGGATCAGACATACCCGATCCGGGAGTATGGATTAGGTAAGAAGGTAAATTTCAGATCCGGGAGTATGGATCAGATTTATCCGATCCGGGAATATGGATTAGGTAAAGAGGTAAATTTTAGATCCGGGAGTAAGGATCAGACATACCCGATCCGGGAGTATGGATTAGGTAAGAAGGTAAATTTCAGATCCGGGAGTATGGATCAGATTTATCCGATCCGGGAGTATGGATTAGGTAAAGAGGTAACTTTTAGATTCGGGAGTATGGATTAGGTAAAGAGGTAACTTTTAGATTCGGGGGTATGGATTAGGTAAAGAGATAACTTTTAGATTCGAGAGTATGGATTAGGTAAAGAGGTAACT